ACGAATTTGAATAACTTCAAGAATTAACTGAATTTTTACCATGATAGTTCTAAAATAATTAAAAAATATTCATATAACATAATCCTGCGAATAAGCTAACCTACATGCCTTTTGTTGGATTTTAATTCAAATGTATAAAATCTCGGGCGACTCTACTGATAAACTTAAAAAATACTTCCCAAGAATCAGATCGAAAAGTTGTATTTTCGAGCTATTTTAGGAGAAAAATATTTACTGCCATGGACAGTTTCCCCGGAATTTCTTTTTTAATATATTGTTATTATAAATAGGTACTTAACTAATTATATACTTCTTTATATTTTATGAAATGTTTTGATCGGGATATAAAAAACGGGGACACGGAGTGCATAATGACTGCTTTATTTTTCATATAAGTACTACTTTTGATAATTACAAACATTTAATAATTAAATATATTATAGAAGTTTATTTTAAAATTCGACTTAAATATGAATCTAAACTTAATAATTTATGTAAGGTTGTAGGAATCAGTTAAATAAGATTGGTCTGTTTAAAGGCCAATATGTTTATGAGGCTTCCACATGTCTCATGTTTATATTCTTTCATCTGTCCCTGAAACGTACAAAGTAATAATAAACTTATTATCATTTTAGCTGCATGAATTTTAAAAACATAATGATCTTCAGAGAGTAAAGTGCACCAAGTGTCTGAGGATACAGATGCACTCTCTATTCTCTCAATCTGGGTATGCTAAGAAAATAGTCACTCGTTCATGGACTGACCGCGCCAAGTGCAATAATCGCAGATCTATTGATCCGCGCAGCTACCTAACGACAAGTTCATCTTCTCTAATAAAATTTTATCATTGTGAGTTGGGAATATAATCCGAACCTCCGTTCAACCCCTTAGGGAGAATAGCGTAATGCTATGAATTTTGTACTAGTATGACCGTACTTACTTACTTACTTATCTTCACGCACAATCCCTGACGGGGGCCAGAGAGAACAGATCGCCAAGTGTCACGATCCTTACATATCTCTTTCGCTTCTTTCAGATTCATTATCTTCTTCATACATGCACGTCTAGGTATCCGAGTACTCTTGACCCTACCCTCTTCGAGCAATTTGCTCACATGGTCTTCGAAAGTTAGTCTCGGTCTACCTCGACACCTTTTAATATTAACTTTCGCGCTATATATTTTCTTCACCATTCGGTCTTCACTCATTCGCTCAACGTGCCCAAACCACCGAAGCACGCCCTTATCAATTTTTGTGATAAGGTCATCTTTCAAACCTGCCATATTGCGAATCTCTTCGTTTCGCTTTCGGTCGGCCATAGTAACGCCGCACATTTTACGAAGAGATCGCATCTCCACTGCATTCAACTTACTTTTATGCTTCTTCTGGCATACCCAGGTTTCGCTGCCATATAACAAAGTCGGTACCAACACTGCGTTATGTATTGCAAGGCGTGCACTCTTCGCTACGCCTTGCCTTTTGACTAACGCAGTCAGGGCACCATTGACTTTGTTCCCGGCAGCGACACGCCTGTCCACATCTAAATCACATCTTCCATCCCGGCTAAAAGCACTCCCCAAGTATACAATTTCATTTACCTGTTCTAGACATTCCTGATTTACCCATATATCACATTTCGTTCTCTCTTCGTCCCTTTCATATACCAGAACCTTAGTTTTATTAGCATTTAAACGGAGACCTTTAATTTCACATTCCTCTTTCATACACGTGACTAATGCCTGCAGTTCTGCCTCTGATGGTGCAATAAGCACTGCATCATCAGCATACAGCAGACAATTTACTTTTATGTCACTCAATTTCACACCCAAACAGCTTTCAGCTTTTGTAAACAGCTGTCGAGATACAGTATGAACAGCCAGGAAGACATGACACAACCCTGTTTTACGCCCGTTTGGACGCTAAACATGGGTGAAAGGTCATGCCCTACCCGCACACAGGCTTTACAGTCACAGTAAAGAGACTGCACAGCCCTTAGCAATCGGCCATCCACACCATACCCCGGCAACAGTTCCCACATTTTCTTCCTTACAACCTTATCAAATGCTTTCTCAAGATCCACAAAAGCACAGAAAATCTTCTGGTTAACAGCCAGAAGCTTTTCCGTGATCATACGGAGAGAAAACATTTGATCCGTGCATCCTCTTCCAGGTCTAAATCCGCATTGTGCCTCCCATAGAAATCTTTCCGATTTCTCTTGCATCCTACGTGTCAAAACCTTCGAGTAAACTTTACTTGCTAAACTGGTCAAGCTGATCGCCCGATAGCACCCGCAGTCAAAATGTGAACCTTTACCTTTATATAAAGGCACAATGACTGCGGATCGCCAATCATCCGGGACATCCCCCGTCCGCCAGCACAAATTGCACAGCAGATGAAAGCTGTCCCAGACGCGAGGCCCACCATACTTGACCATTTCAGCAGTAACTCTGTCTAGTCCCGCAGCCTTACCACATTTCAAACTTCGAATCGCACGTTCAATCTCTTTCATACTGATGACCTCAGTGTCATCGAGGTCCGGGTCTGGCGTGCCAGTCACGGCGTCATCCCCGGATCCCCCACTAAGATCATCACACGCATACATTTCTCTATAAAATTCGCTCCATCGCTGCATGACGTCCGATTTTTCTGAGAGGACGTCATTAGTTCTCGAAAGCACTTTGTTCATTCTTAAGGCCGTCGCACCACTCCGGGTCCTTCCAACCTCTTTCCAGAAGAGCTTGGAGTTCTCCTTAAAGTTGTGCGACAACCTTTCATCCGCTTCCATTCTACACCTTTCACGCACTTCCTCAATCAATGCTTTCGTGTGTACTTTCTGCAGCTTATATCTTTCTTTCATCTTCTCTCTCATATAATTATCATTACTAGAGGCCAAGTAGTCTAACCATGCTTTCTTCTTCTTCTTTACAGCTTCTTTCACTTCATCATTCCACCATGCATCTCTTCTTTTACTACTGCCTCTTTTTATTGTTCCACACACTTCTTCCGCTGCACTTACCATTCCATCCCTAAGGTTCTGCCATGTTCTTTCTACACATTCGTTTCTGCCATCGATGGTGTCAAGCTTTTCGGCTACCCTCGCATGATATTTGTCCCTAGTATCCGCTTCCTGAAGCTTCCAGCTTCGGATGCGACAGACCGACTGTGGTTCTGTCACTGTCTTCCGGTAGCGCCAACCCGCGAACAGACCCCTAAATCTAGTAATCACTAGATAGTGATCCGTTCCCAGGTCAGCACCCCTGAACACTCGCATATCCATAACCTGTTTTCGCAGTCGGTCATCCACCAGGAACAAATCGATCATACTTCTCTCATTCTTTCTTTCTCTAGTATACATATGGATTTTCTTGTGATTAAACGTAGTGTTTGTCACAAGAAGACCCTTTTCCTTGCATACCGCCAGTATAAGCTTGCCAGCATCATTAACCCTTTTATCGCCAAACTTTCCAAGTACCGACTCGTACCCTGGTCGAGCGGTACCAACCCATCCATTCAAATCACCACATACAACAATCCTTTCGTTTCCCCTAGCCAAATCTAGAACTTCTCTTACATTCTCCCAAAACTCCTCCAGCTCAGCCCTGGACGACGAAGCCACCGGCGCATAAACAGCCAAAAGGAATAACTTCGTCAGTCCCAATTTAAAGCGAACCCAGAGAAGTCTTGAGTTCACAAACTTATATTCAGTCATAACATCGACCAACCGAGAAGACAGCAGCACCCCCACTCCCTGGCAGGCGTTCTCGCTCTCCGGGACTCCGGACCATAGAGCAAACGCCCCGCCAGGGAGCTCTTCAGTACCACTGCCCTTCCGTTTGGTCTCCGACATACACACGACATCTAATTCTCTTTCTTTCATTATTTCGATCAACTCATTCGTCTTATCTCTCATGCCTCCTCTAACATTCCACGTGCCAACTCTGCACTCCGTCCTCCACCTTCCGCCGTATCGGGCTGTGCGTGACGGGTGGCGGTCCCCATCGCCGCTTTGTGCGCTGCATTCCACACCAACGGGGACGAGCTGGTGTGCGTCGCCTTGGGGGGACGCCCTAACCCTCGTTGACATGGGTGCGCAGCTGAGTAGAATTGCAGCCCTGAAAAGGGCTGGCAGGGGTCGCGACGAGCACGGTTCTACAATGACCCCTAGTATGACTGTGTTATACATTTATTGTTATTAATAAATGGATACTTTCATAATGGCTTAATGAGGATAATCTCAAGATTTTTTTATCTTTAATGTACTACAGTTTTATAATGTATAAAATATAATACCAGGTGGCCCATAAGTCGTTAGAAATGTAAATTTCGAATAAAATACAAAAGGCGCGCATGAGTGGCGCGCGCGGTGCGGGGGGAGTACCGACGGTTTCTGGGAATTCAGTCGCCATGGAGCGTTTCACCGGTGCGGACCGTGCATTTTGTGTGCGCGAGTTTTATCGAAACAATGATTCGGCTACCATTGCGCGGCGTAAATTTCGAGAATATCAGAATTTACGCACCTTTAAAGACATTCCAAGTGTTCAAACGATTAAGAACTGGGTTATTAAGTTCGAAGAGAGTGGTTCGACGTTGGATAAACAACGGTCAGGTCGACCAAGGACATCACGGACGGAAGAAAACATCGATGTAGTGAAACACTCAATTCGTGAAAATCCTACCCAGTCTACTCGTAAGCGTTCCAGTGCATTAAACTTACCCAGAACATCGTTACAGCGAATTTTAAAGAAAGATTTACATCTTCACCCGTACAATATTCAGTTAGTACAGGAATTAAAAGATACTGACACTATTCACAGACTAAATTTCGCAAATGAAATGTTGAACCGCTTTACTTCGTTTAATAACGTGTTATTCTCTGATGAGGCTCACTTTCACATCAACGGCCATGTCAATAAGCAAAATTGTCGCTACTGGAGTTGCGAAAATCCAAATCGCAAACATCAAAAGCCCTTACATAGCCCTAAAGTGACAGTTTGGGCGGCTATGTCAGCGCATGGCATTATAGGCCCTTACTTTTTTGAGGACGGCAGAGGACGCGCGCTTACTGTTACTTCACAACGGTATGTAGCTATGATCCAGGACTTTTTTACACCAGAGTTGCAGAATTTTCCAGGCTTCAATACGCGGACCTGGTTTCAACAAGATGGAGCAACTGCCCATACCTCTAACGTCGCTATGCCGGTCGTCCGTCAACTTTTCCCTAATAAAGTGATCTCTCGAAGAGGAGATATTCCTTGGCCACCACGTAGTCCAGATCTGACCCCAATGGACTTTTTCTTATGGGGTTATCTTAAGACTAAAGTGTACGAAACCAAATGTTTTCTTCCTCGCACGACCTCCTTGTGGAATCGATTACCATCAGCGATTTTTCCGGACCGATACGACTTAGGGACCTTCAAGAAAAGAGCGTACTCCTTTTTAAAAGGCCGGCAACGCATCTGCGATTCCCCTGGTGTTGCAGTTGTTCATGGGCGGCGGTAGTCACTTACCACCACAGGTGAGCCGCATGCTCGTTTGCCCCTCTCCTATAAAAAAAAAAAAAAAAAAAAAAAAACCCGCTGACAATTGACGTCCTGAAAGAAAATATCCAAAGAGAAATGGCAAACATTACAGAGCTTACTTGCCACGCAGTGATGGATAATTTTAAACGTCGCTTACAGGAGTGCCGCGATCGTAACGGATTACATTTAGATGATGTAATTTTCAAAAAATAATTCCCATTTTATAAGGGTTATGACAAAATAAAAACCTTTTTCATAATGTTATTAGTTTTTTTTAATTATTTTTTTACATTTCAAGGGACTTATGGGCCAACCTGTATATATAATACAAATAATAAATATAAATATAAGAAATTATAATAATATTTTTATCTAAAGTTTTTGTTCGCGCCAAACGCTGTTGTCGGAATCGACGTCAGAGGGCGCGCGGCTCGGTCCATACCAGTTTGACTTTCGGTCGTGCGTAGAACGCGCGAGCTCAGGGTCGTCTGCCAGCTGTGCTAACGTCAGCACGCTGTCAATTTTTGTTCGGGAAGTCGGAATAATTAGGCGCGGCCAGTAAATATACTGTCTAGGATTTGTGACGCGCATTCCTTGCTGGAGAGCTTCCCAGGGACTCATTGTGTCTGACTCAGAATTTGTATAAGTGCATTCGACAATATTAGCTAAAGTGGCCTTTGATATTCTAGAAATAACTGTTGCAACGCGAAGCGGTAGTGACCTTTGATCCGGACACTCCCTGTTAGTTTTGTGTGTTAAGCTTTATAACAAGTGAGAGTTAGTGGCTTCTGTAAGTTAGTTAATAGTACGATAGAGTTAATGGACTGTCATCGTGACGAACGAAGAAAGTGACTGTGGACGGCGCCGCGGAAGATACCACATTTTGGAGCAGCCTGGAACTCGGCCGTTGCTGCTCGCCTATGCTTGCCAAGGCCCCACACACTCACACATGACTGTACACTACTCGCCATCCACTATTACACACACTCACGGCCTGCCCAAGCCTTGGTGCGAAGTTAGCTTCAGAAAATGGTAAGTACTATGTGTTTCTAGCTTTCTCCCATATTGTTTATTGTAATTAGGAAATGCCACGTGGCCATATTCTGGCCCCGTCCCTCTGCTGCCCGTCGTTGGGATTACTCATGGGCCCTAATCCCGTCAACCTTAGTTGGGGCAGCTAGGGGCGTGTACAGTTTTGAAAGTAAAATTTTTGAACTCTTATCATAATAATATTATACTAACTGATACAAATAATGTAGAAATTACTCCTTTTAATAAAATTGTTTTTATTCTGCCTTTTCTTTTATACTTCTCAAGAAAATATTTGCTGAAAATTGTTGAGTTCTTCTTTGGATTCCGTCCAATTAAGCTTAACCATTTTTCCTAATTATAGAATCCGGAGGGAATCTGTTTGACAAAAGGCAAAATAAAATTAGATTTTAGAACGCAAACCGAGGATTTATTTTCTTGTTGTGTGAGCACGTCTATCGATTCATTATAAACATTCAAGATAAATATCGACATTAATTTTGATATAGTTGAGTCAATCCTTAGCGTACATGTAAAATATTTTGCATAAAAATGTATTTACCAAATTCATGCAAATTATCAACAACGTGACTTTTTTCTTTGTAAAATAGTCATGTTGTCTGTTAATAAAAATATCGATATATATCGTCGATATTTAAAATCGCGATATTTCGCTATATCGATATTTATTTAGAGTATCCAATTCGTATCAATTTAGATATATTTTAAAATGTGGTATTAATGACAAAAAATGAGGTACAAAAGTATTCATGTGTGGTTGGTTGTCGTTTTTTTTCGTCATCCACCCGGCAGTAATATAAAATTTTGGACCTTTTCTTTACATCATGCAAATGATGAAGATATATCAATATATCGATATTTATCACGCGATTTATATCGATACTGTATAAAGATATCGATTCGATATCGATATATTTTTTGCCTTGCCCATCCCTATTCAAAATCAGATATAGATTCATGAGATTTGGTATCCTTTTCTATCTTGCATTTTTGCCATAAGGAATTTTCTTCTCCTTTGCACACTATGTTGGTCTACACGCCAGTATATTCTAAGAGTATGATGGGTCCATGCATTGGCGGAGTAGCGTGGATTCGTACCCAGGGTGATTTTCTATCAAGCACCCCACCTCCCCAAAAAAAAAAACAAAAAATGCTAAAACTGCTTAAGGGACTTTCCGAATAGCCTAATTTTACGAGCAATCTGAGAAGCTCCAATGAAGTACATAAGTAGTAAGTGGCGCCTCAGTTGTAAAATCTCCAAAATTATATCTCCTGCAGAAAATTCATCGTAGATTTTTTGCTGCATCGTAGATTTTTAGTTATTGCACGAAGATCTTCTTCTGGTGACGTTAGAAGAGTGTAAGGCTAAACAATACAAAATTTTACGAGAATATCATCCAGTCCAATATCAAGCCCTGTAACGATGGTCTAGTTCTTCGTAAAATCTGTCAAGACATTCTAACATAGCTCTCTGCAGCTCCTCTGGAAATGTTAGTCCAACATATCGGATCATTTCTCCTAGTAAACGTTTTCAAAATCTCCTCCTTCTTCTTTTTTCTTCAATCGAAATGGCCAAGTCCTCACATTCTTTTGTTACGTAGGAAATAGCTTTTTCATTAGTTGAATACGTTGGCTTTAAAGAAAAATTTTAGGACTTTGATTTTTATCACATACAGTGATAGTCCAGATTATTATTTTATTATTTAGTATTTACTTTTATGTCTGACTAACTTATTTTAGAACTTCACACCAAAAGGAAAGACATTAAAACTGAAGTCACACATAGCTGTTATAAGAGTGTACATGTTGCTTCTCTTGCATCGACGTTTTCACTGCTGTTGCTGGTATCACATATATCTTCGAGTGTTGATGCTAGTTTCTTAGTAGACACACTCCCGATCTTTACAACGTTGTTAACGAGAGACTTGTGGACGATAAATCCGACACCTCCTTGGGATAGATGGTGGTGATAGAACAAGTTGCCGGATTCGAGGATTACCGTGTCCACCCCCTCTCTTCGGACCTCGGATAATCCTATGATATTCCAGCGCAACTTGTCTATCTCTTCTTCCAGCTCCAGGATCTTCCCGTCAGTCCTCAGGGTGCATGCGTTATAAGTTGCCAGCTCGAGTCGTCGTAGGTGGCAACCGAACCTCCACCGGAGATTCTTAGTACCCCCTGCCCCGCCGTTACCATATTTGCCACCGTAGCCAGGAATAGCGGGGCCCCCGGGGACTGGGGGCCGTATCTTCGTTACTTTAATGGGGGGTATATTGCCATAGTTGCCACGCTTGGCGAGCGGGTTGGCAACCGCAGATTTTTAATCGCTTTTTTGCTGTTATCAGTAACATGCTGCTGCCCATCCTCTGCCTCAGTTTCCCTCTGTCGCGTATTACGACACCTACGGGAAGATATGGGGTAGTGAGTATTCTTACCCGCCACTACACGGGATACAAAAATATTTAAACAAAATGAATACCCTGGACGCGTTTAACGAAGTGATTATGATAATCTCTTTTGTTCTCTTTCTTCAAAAATGGGAAAGTATTGTCATCATTGTTATCATCTATACTAATATAATAAAGCGGAAGAGTTTTTTGTTTTTTTGTTTGTTTAAGCGCGCTAATCTCTGGAACTACCAGTCCGATTTGAAACATTCTTTTTGTGTATTATAGCCAGATTCATGTGGAATAGTATAGGCTATCTACCATTAAGCTATACTACTCAGCTAGCCTTAAATATGGATATTTGTTAAGCAAGTCAGAAGAAAAAGCACTCCCGAAATGATTTATCCGCGTACGCTGGTGTTATCGTTAGGGATACGTAAATACAATGTTATAGAAAAATATAGATCTTTACTCCGTCTAAAAAAAGTCTGCGATACCATATGTCTATTTCTTATACATGAGCCATAAATAGGTATTAGGTGACAAAAAAATATTGAAAATTTAAAAGTGATTTATGAGCGTTATTATTAGGCATGGCCTATTTATCCTTACGAACGAAAATTACTTCATCATCAAGACAATTTTATGAAGATAAACTTTGTTCTTTATACCATGTCTTAAACTATGCGTCCAAATAACGCATAGTTTAAGAGATAATGTAAAATTAAAATAATTCAATATTTGTCTGGGCGCGCGAACGACGCATAAACCCTAGCCGCCCGGTGAGAACGTGGGGGGGGGGGAGGACGCTCAACCAGGATGGGGAGGGAAAGTGGATAAAACTTACCTTCACGCACCATCATACATAATATGCCGACAGATAAAAGTACTCCATTAATTATGCCAATTTTTCCATCCATTGCTATCAAATAAAATATTTAATTGCAATTATAAAATGCTTGAACTAGGTCATGTCGCGCACCACCGACAAGTGATGACGCGGGGGAAACCGCGGGGCACAGCTAGTAGTTTATAAGATACTTATTACCGAACGTATGACAATGATAATGTGTCATTGTCAAAACCAAAATATTCAAGTGACACGTAATTCTCAATAAATAAATTTTCTTTTTGTGATCTCCAGATGTGAAAATTCGCGAAAATTTATATTTGTATCGTTCAATTATAAAGTACTATAATGTCTGATAGAGGTTTTGGTGATCACGCGTCTAAGAATCTTGTGAAAAATCCGCTTTTGTCAACTGCTGTGATTGGTGTCTCTCTCGAAGATTTGACGCATAATGCTGTGTTACTGCCTGCCGTACCTAGCCAAGAACTGATCACAAGACAAGGTTAGTGCTATTTTGATCACTGTATGTCGTGTAAAAGAGTTGTAGCCTTGATCGAAACACAAAATCAAGCACAGAAATTTGGCATACTTTCCTACGTGAAATGTCAGTTTTCGCGAATTTAGCGATTGTTATCGTACATTTTTGTATCTTACGTCGCGATATAATGGTTTAGTGATTGATAATATATCTTTTACAGCTTGTCACATGTTGGTGTAAATTATTTTAACAGTTTAATTAATTAAACACTATCTAATATTTGTTTTACAAGTTGACACTTCCTAGTGTGCCATGTCGTCATTTTTATATAAATCATGTAAAAATACTTCAATTAAAAGTTCCTGTATACCTAAATTTGAGGATTTAAACTGTAAAAATGTAAGCCAACAAAAAATTAAACGTATAGTAAGTACATAACTTATTACTGTACTTAATATGCAAGATTAATCTTCTTGTTTTCTGTATTAACGTTTTGTATCTATAATAAAATTTATATGATTTCATTTATAAGGACACTAGAACATAAGGAGAAAATAATAGTTTGCGATATAGGCCATATTTATATAAGTAGTAAATTCATGTTGCTGGAAGATGATAAATAAATAGTAATGTTATTGACTCGATAATCAATCTAGATTTGATTGAATCTGAGAAATAATATTCATAGGGTATATAATTAAAAAAACAAGTAAGAAAAGTTTAATGGTGAAAAAGGACTTCATATTCTGTTGAAAAATTTTGAAAATAGTATAAGTTATTGAAGGATTTAGGCTTTGTTACATTTTGGTGATATTCATACACAGTATGGCCAGAACTATTAATTTTAAAAATCTTTCATGTTTAATGTCCATAGTTTTTAGTATATATGTTATCCAATCAAACATTTATGACTACACAAGTATCCAAAAAACTGCAGACTTATATCCATGATGTAAACCCACTGAATTTGATTCCTTCTAAACCTTGTAAGAATAAGGGTGACACATGAGAATGTATACACCTGATGGTAAATAGCTGCTGTGGTGGAAGGAGTTTTGGCGGGAACTTGATCGGCGACGGATCGCTGCACCTGTATTATTGTTTAAATAATGGTTTGAAGTGGATTTTGATATGTAAAAGTGGTGCGATTTTGTATATTAAATGTTTACGCATGTGAAATATTAGTGGAAACGGTGAAACAAGCGCTCTGATGGTGATGTGATTCTCAAGATAAGGTGTATGTCTGCTTAGGCACCTTGAGATACCATCGCCAACCGTCAGCTGTCTGCTCGCTCAAGTTGCCGTCAAAATCTCCCAAGGGCTGCACAATGTGATGCATCAACATATTGTGAAGCAGTATACTATGAAGGATAATTATTATAATATATTGTAACTTCAGGCTCAGAAGGGCTAGATCCCAGAGCCGTAAAGCCAGTTATTAAGAAGAAAAAGTAGCTGCTGTGGTCCATATTTATTTATATATCCTGCATTAATGATAAAAATGTAGATGTTTTGTCAAGGATAGAATGTCTTATTAGCAGTAAAAAGGTTCTATGGTTCTCTATTGCTCACCATACAAAACTGCACCAGCAGTATTAAGGTGTAATTTTAATTTTATGTTGGTGTCCTGTGAGAGTGTGGCCCGTTACTTGTTGAGCTGCCACAACATTGTGAAGTTATGCAGGGGCCGGAGGACATTATGAAAATACTAATTTTATTAATTAAAATATATTTAACTCGCTTCAGACTAACTTAATATTTTATGCTTAAAAGCTAATGCATGAGAGCCCACACAGGAGCTCGGCAGTTTCCGTTTGTCCACTCAGCACATGCCTATTGTCTATAATCAGAATATTCTGCTGATACGGACATCTTGGTGGGTCTCGCCACCCAAAACAATGCAGGTTTATACAGGTGACGACGCATCTGCATTTTGGTTCTTTATTGAGGATAGATGTAGATGTCTATGGGTCACAGCAACCACTTACCATCAGGTGGACTGTGCTCGTTTGTCACCCTATCCTATAAAAGAAAAGGTTAAAGGTTTGTAAATGTGTATTTGATAACAGTGTGTGATATTAAGTGTTGCTATATTCTTGAAATTTAAATATGTCTTAGTTTTTTGTAGTTAGTTTTGCTATTGTAATAATTATTTCTAATTTTCAACCTAAGCCTTTTGTGTATCTGCTTGCTTGAATTGCATCCATTGTTCATGGTGGACAAGAGAATTGATGATTTTGAACAAAGGTTACATTTCATGATAAAATATATGTTTACAATCCTTAGATACACAAATAGGTAAATTTTTTGTGGTTATTTGTTTTTAACTTCTCATCAATCCTGATCGATCCTTTCAGAAAAGGTGCAGTTGAATTTTGCTATATGTAAAAGGGAATTTCAAATTAAAACAAGGTTCACGAGTCTTATTTCTGTAAGTTTGTATGGTTCCATATATTATTTACAGTTATTAAAGTCATTTTTATATAAGGTTAAACATTTTTTTGTGTTTGAGCTTAGATTGTCTGAATATTTCTTTTTACGTGGTAGAGCCATGCTGCAGCTGTAGTACTGGTATAGTTGTAGCAAGAATGGGTTGGCTCGACCGGGAAAGGACTTAATGGTGCTGTCTTTCATATGGTGAGTGTAGAGATCCAGATACCCTTTTTACTTTAACTAAGATGGAATACCCACTTCATTCCATCTTAGTCCTCAGACATGACAACGCATCTGTATTTAGATGTCTATAGGTCATAGCATCCATTTATCATCAGGTGGTCTGTGTGCCCGTTTGTCACCTATATTTTATTTAAAAAAATATATAGCCTCAAACTTAAACTGACACTTGACGGTTACGTTTTTTCCTCAAGTCATATTTGAATATTTTGTCCTGCTATAATGTTTGTTCATGCAATATTTTTGTTTCACCCCTCAGAAATTAATGTTTGCTATAGGACAATTAATCGACCGGATAACTATTAGCTCAGAATATTTGTGAGATAAATGTCATTTGTAAAATTTACTACCAATTACTTGAGAGTTGGTCAGACATTTTGTCGTAGAATTGAAAAAAAAAACAGTCCTAAATCAGTTTGCATTATGAATGTTGGATTCTCTTGGATAAATAAGTGTGCGTCATTGGCACGTTAGAAAAAGACGGACTGAACATTGCATGTTACTGTGCAGAAGTATGCTTTCTATTTATTGTTACCATGCAGAAGTATGATTTCTATTTATTTATTCTTTATTGCAAACACCTTTAACTGGGGTTTACAAAGGGCGGACTTAATGCCTTCTCTACTAATTAAGTAAGAAGCAGGTGCAAATCTTGCTACATATATATTTATCTATGGTGCAAATTAAGGACAAAAAAACTTTAAAAGAGGACCAGTTAAACTATTAAATCCTATTCTACTTAAAACATATAATACTAGTATGACACATATAAATACAATACACATAAAACACACATACTCACATACCCAATCATATATATCTTCATCATCATCATCATTACAGCCCTTCACAAGTCGACTGCTGAAAACATAGGTTTCCCCCAAGAATGCCACAAAGCACGGTCCTGAGCCACGTGCATCTATCAACATCCTACATGTTTCTTACTAGGTCGTCACTCTATCTAATGGGGGGCCACCCCACACTTTGCCTACAGATACGAGGCTGCTACTCGAGAACCTTTCTTATAACTTTTCTTCCTTTCTTTCTTAACCATATATATATTTCTACACAATTTATTGGTGCAAGTAGATATTTTAACATTATTTTCTATTTTGTATCACAGCGTATGACCTACCTACACATACAATCGGTGGCAAAGGAATATCCCTTTCAATAGTTCTTCTTTATTTCAGTATAATATTATTCAGCTTATTTGTAGTGGAATCTTCCGTCTAGCAAACGTAGTCCATAAGCTTTTTGATGATTTAAGGAAACAAGAGATGACATGGCTCAAAAAAATTTGTTTGTGTTTGAGTCTTTGTCAATATGTGATTTATATGTTATATCTGTAAAACTCCTCCAAGATATAGAAGTTCCTAGTGAAGTTTTTTAAAAAAAAAAATAGGTAGTCTATTTTGTCCGGAAGAGGATAAAAAACAAATAAAAAGTTAATTTTTTTATTAAAATAATTTTACAAAAATCATTTATGGCTCGGTGCTTACCTCTAAATAAATTTAAACAACTTAACTGTTATAACTACCCGTATAAATAAAGAATTGTTAACCGCATTTTAAGAATGTACACTGAATTTATTTAGAAATGTTAAGAAAAAGGTTGAACATTCCTTTGGTTAATATTTCTTAATTAATTCATCAATACTAACAATTAATTTTAACCATGGAGTAGAATTTTAATGCGTTTTAAATAATTTGCAATATCTGATAATATGTATTCCCATTTGATTTATTAAATCTACTTACAGTATTTTTTTTATATTATAATAACGGCTCTGTGATGCAGCGGCTTAGCAATGATTTGCGTTGCTGAGGGACGCGGGTTCATATCCCTCACGGACATAAGTATGTATATGGCTAGAAGTTAGCCCTTGTGCAAGTTATGTCTCCAAGATATATTAGAAAATCTTAGTGTCCAATCCTATAGTAAATATAAAGGGAAATAAAAATAGATATAAAGTATACTTCACTTTTTTTTTAAATGTAATTGATCGTGACCTGGCTACATGTGTAGATCAATAGAAACATGGAATGAACAGTGGCGTAGCTCTCTCTGCGCAGGCGCAATAAAACAAAAAACTAATGTGAACACGAATACCTACATGTTGTCTTTTTGCTAAGAAGGCTAACTTAAAAGTTACTAAAATTGGTCCTTCGAGCGAGACTTTTAATTCTTCTTAAATATTCATTCAACAGCAAGATATATACAATTCCAAAATTCCTTTCTGTTCCATATATTTATTTTGTATAACATGTATATTTGTTTATAACATCGATATATATGTACTACGTACTAGATTGCGCATTCCGAACATACACTATGTTCAACTGAACTGTACTGCAATCCGTACAGTGTGTTAAATGACACACTGTACGGAACTGTGTGGTTTTAATCTAGTAGTTATTCTGTGGTTTCAACATTCATGCAGTGTGGAGCGGCGCTAATAATACAAGATTTCAAATTAAAGTTTAAACCTGGACGTAAATAACAATTCAGTAGCCAAGTAAGTAAAATTATTTGTTGTTAAAGTGAATAAATAGGTAATAATAACATAATATTACAAAAGAAAAATCATGAAAAATATATTTCTTTCTATAAACTGACGGCGCAGGCGCATGCGCGACTTTACTATCTCCAGCGCATGCGCGAAGAGTAGTGCACATTTTTTGTTTAGAAAGGCTTCTCTAGTACGTAGTACATATAACTCAATGGTTTATAAGTTATAAGTTGAAATACGTAAACTGTGCTATTATATTTAAGAAAGTTATAGTGTGTCCTCTCCTACAATAGGGAAAATTTACCGTAATCGCAACACTGACAGGCCGATTGAATATTGCGGTACTATATTTGAAGCTAAGTGTATAAACATTTAAACTAATGTTTACAGAAGTGTAGACTTGCTTTTTTTTGCAATTTTTTTCTTCATAAAAGTCCACTCTTCCAATGCAGGGAAAATTTGCCTTTAACGTCACCATACACCAAACAATTGAGCAATGACGCTGTCTAAGCTTATGTTTGACAAAGTGTTTACTGAATATCGTAATGAGAAAATGGATGCCCTTGCTTCATATAATGGTAGTATGATTATAAGCAGTAATTAACCGTCCTATTAAATAATTATAAATTGTTAAATATAGATGTATAAAAGTAAAGTTACTTTAAAGATTGAAATGGCTAAAAAATATTTTCCTTTCTTCTTTTGCTCTCATATTTTAAACTTATATATGTATACTAACATCATAATATAATAAATTATTTATTCTTAACAAAATTAAAGTACTTAATAATTTTGTTTTAAATTAAATACTATACATTGAAGGAATGTTTTGAAATCTTAGCTCGATTCGCCATTGAGACTGATTTGATTGACCTATTGCTATATTTGCGCCATCACATTACATTGGTGCGAATATGGCCAGTATGTGATAGCCATTTTTACAATTTTTGGTATAAAATACGTAACGTAAACATGAAAAAAGACAAAATGCATTAAGTAACTGCCGCATTTCTTTCACAATTTTCTCTTCAGTTTAAAAATAACTTTATTTTCAGAATATAATAGAATGGTTAATTAAAAAACGAATTTTTAATTCCTTCCCTTGAAAACAATAATTTTACATAATATATTTTTAATGCATTTCTCCATGCTTAGTGAAATTTCCCAATAAAATTAGTTTATTTTTAATGCTTAATTAATGGAAACATTTTAAATTTACAAATGGGTGACCTTGTGAAACACCCTTTTTTATTATAAAATCATTTATAAACTAAACACGTGTATTAGTACATTAGTGACTAATTAATTTTATTACTCTCATATATTTTAATTTAAAGAATAATTTATAACCTACTATCGTAATGTCCTTGTATTTTGTTTCGAATTTTTAAAATTTGTCATTGAGTTCTACCAATGAGGGTTAATAATATTACGCTCACCAGATGTCGCTAGTTGACACTGAAGGGAAGTTTCTTGTTACACAGTGTCAATCAATTAAGAAGTTAGTTTTAAATAGAAGTTAATCAGTTTCTAGAGTAATAAATTAATAACAAAACAATGCCTATGTAAAATATGCTAATTTAACTTTTTGCACTTTTACAACTCTTTTTTTTTCTACTTTTATGAATATTTGAGGTTTAGTTTATATATTTTTATAAAATATAGCTTAATAGTACAGAAAGAAACGTTAACCTTTATACGTCTCGAACAAATTACCTTTCCAACTATGAAATCTGTCAAATGTTACACCTCATTTTTAAGTGGCGCCGCCCTGGTGGCAGAAAAAGTTGTGGATGCCCTCATTGAAACTGTACTATTTTTATGTATATGGCATTCTCAGCTTTGAAAGTGTTGCCAGTATATATTTTTCATTTCCTTATACCACATACTTATAAAGTGTAATACTTTTTTCACTTTTCATATATTTTTCTTATCATTAAGACAATATCACGTTAATAAATTAAAATATTAAATACAATGTAAGATGGTGTTGGCGGTCTGGCACTTAGCTAATGTTTCTTGACGACGTGTTATACGAGGAGAGTTCTCTTGAAGATCTGCGACGTTTGACGCACAAGTATATCAGGAATATGACGAGGGCAACCAAGGCAATAAACAGGAGCACTCCCAGCACTATCGCGGCTATCCCTGCATTCGATATGTAACCTAAAAATTAAAATCTTTATAAATACCAAAATAAAAAACAAATAGGTGAAGGGCGTACCTATGGCATACCACGAAGGAATGCGATATTTATCGTAGTTAAAGTTTATATGGGAACGAGTGCAGAAAGCTTAAATTTATATAGAAGACTAGCTGTTCCCCACGGCTTCGCCCGCGTATTATTTAGGGTATAATTGTGTTGTGCGGAACCCTAATTCATTTTCTAAAATATAAGTAGCCGAAGTTACTCCTTATAACATCAGCTATCGTTCAGTGAAAGTCCCGTCGAAATCGGTCAAGCCGTTTCGGAGATTAGCCGTAACAAACAGACAGACAGACAAAAATTTTAAAAATTATCTTTTTGTTATAAGTACTGTATATACTTTCATATGCATTCAGTGAAAAGCTGTTATTTTGACATTACAAACAGACGCTCCAATTTTATTTATTTGATGTGTTACAAATACATTAAACAAAGTAAAATAAAACTAACTTTGTTTACGTTCATACTGCTAAATGTCAAATACATATAGTTTGTTTGTATTTAAACAGTCGCGCAGAGTAGAGGTTGTCGCAAAAAAAAAAGTAAAATATTGCCAACAAATAATTACTACTTAATTTTGTATGATTTTAAATGTTACTTTTGTTTTTTTTTCTTGTTGAACATTTAATATATTTAATAACTAAATGACTAACTAACTAAATGACACGCCTTTTTAATTACAATTTAATTTACAATTTAAGTTACAATTCGCTTGTACGGTTCTCTTTTGCAAAACAAATATGGTTTGATTTTATTCAGTAGGTTGGTAGTGAAAGTTGGGTGTGACAGAAGAAGCACGATTTATTAAGGACTATGTTAGGACTGAATCTGAATGACAGGGTGAGAAATTGTGTGATAAGAGAAGAGTGTGGTTTGCAAGATGATGTTGGATTAAGAAAGGAATGCCGAACGTTTGATCATATAGAAAAGAATGAACGAGTAAAGAGTGACGAAGCAAATCTATGTTGCAGAAGTGAACGGCAGAGTCGGAAAGGCATGCCCTAGGTGAAAGTTTATCGACCAAATTGGCGATATATTGATAATAGACCACATTAAGACGTCCTTAACCGACGAGTATGTATGCTTAGGTATATGGATGTGGAGGAGGCGAGAGAGGTGTGTCAGGATCGTGCCAAATGATGATGAACAGGCGTGAGTGTTTTATGTATATATGGTCGTGGTTATGCAAAAAGGTTCCAACCCGAGTTTGTGTCAAAAATGTTGACTTGAAAAATTACTATTATGTGATGTAACAATTTTAGCAAAAGTAACACAAATAAGAAGAAAAATTACAAACAGACAGAAACCATACCGATAATTGGAGTTCATAATATTTGAAGTATGGATACATCAAATATCATAAACTCAAATTAACTTATCGCGGGTTGGATCTTTTTTGCATAACTACGTCCATTTATGCATGTATCAGTAGGTAGCGTGGGTGCACTCACCAGACACGTCGACGACGTAGCTGTTGGTGTTGCCGAGCGCGTCCACGGCCGACACGAGCAGGCGCGGCGCGCAGCATGACGCGCGGTACGACGCCACCACCTCCCCCCGCGTGCCCGCCACGAAGTTGCTGTCGTACGTCAGCCCCAACGGCGATGACGACAGACGGAGGAGACCTGATAGAAATCAATTGATCAAATCTTTTGACGATTGTCGTCAGTCACCTACTTTTTAAATTTCCATAGTGGGAGCAATTCAGAAAACTGATGAGAACAAAGTCGGGGGATACAGTTTAGTGTTGCAGATGCAGCTACGTATCTATCCGTCGCCGTTACAGCCTATTAAAGTCCACTGTTGAAAATAGGCCTCCCCGATAGATTGCCTCATACGGGGGATATTTGTCATAGTTGTAATGTTACTGTTAATTTCATAATTTCACCTCTCCGTGGGTTATGTGCTCCTGGTAGATAATCTTCTATACATCCATCCATTACAGCCTAAAAAGTCCACTGCTGTACATAGGTCTCCTCCATAGATTGCCTCATAGGGAGAATATTTGCCATAGTTGTAATGTTACTGTTAATTTAATAATTTCACCTCTCAGTGAGTCATGTGCTCCTGGTAGATTATCTTCTATACATTCATTACAGCCTATAAAAGTCCACATACATGCATTACAGCCTATATAGTATATAGCCTATATAGTCCACTGCTGAATATAGGCCTCCACCATACATTGCCTCATAGGGAGGATATTTGCCATAGTTACCACGCTTGGCAAGCGGCGTATCGTGTAGTGGCGGTGTAAGGATGTCCACTATACCATATCATCCCGTGGGTGTCGTAAGAGGCGACAGCGGGAAACAAATCAGGAGATGGGCAGCAGAATCTTCCTAATAATGACTAAAAATAAAAACTGCGGTTGCCAACCCGCTTGCCAAGCGTGGCAACTAGATATCTATCATTATATCAAAAATTTAGTAACACCGCTCGATAGCTAAAGGTTCAAAGATTGTGTATCTATTAAATAAAAAACACTTTACGGTTATCTAACTCTCAAAGGAAATAAGCTCTGTGAGTGGTAGTACCGACCGAGATTTAATATCTATCTTTTCGGAAATTTTGAAAGCGTGATTTAGACTTCTCTTGATTTTTTTATTTCGTAATGATCTCGTACTGTTTTACTTTTGCCAGTGTCTAGTATGTTAGGAAATTAAACTTTATAATGATTTGTTAAAAAAAACTTCTTCACCATATTTTGACGGCAGCTTGAGTCAGCAGACAGTCGGTGACGATAGTATCTCACATCACCATCGGAGCACTTGTTTCACAGTTTCCACTAATAGTTCACATGCGCAGACTTTATACACATAATCACACCACTTTTACATATTAACATCTAGTTCAAAGCATTATTTAACAATAATATGTGAGCAGTTATCCGCCGCCGGTCAAGCTCCCGTCATATTTTTCGTATAGTTCAATATGTTTCTCATAGTTGCAACGTAGCGCCGACACAATTAACACAAGAACTTGTTTCATGGTTTCTACTAATTTTCATATGCATGTATATGACGGCACCAGCACCATTGCACGTGCGGCGCCGTCGGTGTAGCTAGACAGAATTCTTGTAAATAACACGTGCTCCGCACACCTGCACCATTGCACCTGCGGTGGCGCCCGTTTGGTTTGTATAAAACGTTGTTATTTTATACACCAAAATAATTGTAAATAAAAACTACTATAACCTATAACTTAAATTAAAAAAAATACCTCGAAAAAGAGCTGATGATCTTCCAACGACTGAATATATTTTCTTGTAACACACACTCTTGATTAAGGCTCCTTTCAATCGAATAAAACTTAATCAAAAGCGGTTCATCCGTTCAGGAGCTGTGATGCCATAGACAGACTCACAGATACTAACTAAAACTTATAACAACAACCCTCTGTATTCGTCAGAGGTTAAAAATCATTATGAACGATAATGCAAAAGGTAGCTTTTGTTTGCGATCAAATTCCCACCAAATAACGAACTGCTTTATTCCTTTTATAGAATAAGGCTGCTGCTATACGAGCACACAGTCCACCTGATGGTAAGTGGTTGCTGTGGCCCATAGACATCTACGTCTATCCTCGATTAGGAATCAAAATGCCCGTTAACAGTAAAACGTGTCTACGGTTCTCTACACCCACCATTCGAAACACTTCTGTGAGAGCATGGCCCTACCCGGTCGAGTGACACATTCGTGCTACAAACAATATAGCTGCAGTATGTCTCTACCACGTATAAATCATCTTGTTATAAATGAAAATAGACAACGTTATATGACGTGGGTCCCTTACCTGCAAAAGCATCACGGGCCACAATGGTGACTGACCAGACGTACTCAGAGCAATCGGTACCCATCCTTCCGATACAGGAGCCCTGGAAGTTGTGACGGACCTCGGGAGCCCAGGTGTCGACTTTCGTCTCGCCCGGGTTCAGCACGTAGACGTATGCGGAGATCGATACTTGTTCTAAACCTGGATATTAGTAGTTGGTATGTTATTAACCTTGTCACACATTGTTCCCTTCTTAGTTAAAGAATTAAAATAGTTTTTGATTACAGTAGAAGTATTAAAGTGACTTTACACAAGTATTATTTTGTAATCTTTGTTTAATAAAAAATTAATCTATCTGGACATGCGGCAATGTGTACCGCCAAGTTGGGAAAAGGAAAGAGTGACGACAGTATATATTTACGCGGACCATTTTGAGCCACTTTTAACCAATAACTTTTTTAAAAGAATAAGGTTGATTAACTAACACACAGTCCACCTAATGGTAAGTGGATTTCAGCATTCACTTACCATCGGATGAACTGTGCCCATAGACATCTATAATGTAATTTCCTTGCTGAGATTTATTGTCGTATGTTTTTTGTTTATTTCCGAATATGTATACCATGTGAGTGTAATGATTTATGTCGAAATCCAAATTTCAAAGCAATTAATACCTTATTGCAAACATTATAAGCGCACACACACAACTTTTTAAGAACAATATACTCGTACGAACTTCAAAACAAGTGGAGATGTGTCCATTAAATCTATGAATAGAATCAGGCGTTACTTTGCGGAAATCCATTATATTAAATATGTTAAAAATTAATTTGCTGAAATCCGCGAAATAAAATAAAATGACGTGTCTTACCTAGTTTGAAGAGCACCGGCCACCCTCCCACAATTGCGTGCACATCCCCGTCACCACTACTCCCAACACCACCACACTAGGAAAGACACACCACTGACGACAATACGATACGTGTTTCGCCTCTACACGAGGCATCCTCATGTGAAGTAGACTGGGTCAGCCACCGCAGGGAAGGAAGTGCTCTTCAAACTAGGTTTTTTTTAATAGGATAGGGTGGCAAACGAGCACACAGTCCACCTGATGGTAAGTGGTTGCTGTGCCCCATAGACATCTACATTTATCCTCAATAAAGAATTAAAATGCAGATGCGTCTTCACCCGTGAGGACTAATACTAGTACTAGTCCCGAAATCATGGAAGACAGCTTTTGTCCACCCGATCCCTAAAAAAGGCGACCGCTCAGACTCGTCCAACTACAGGCCTATCGCCATCACCCCCTTGTTCTCCAAAATAATGGAATCCATTAAAACCTGCCACCTCATGCGGTACCTTGAGGATCACCAGCTGATTAGTGACCGCCAATACGGTTTTCGTCGGGGTCGATCAGCTGGTGATCTTCTGGTCTACTTAACTCATAGATGGGCGGAGGCAGTAGAGTCCAGGGGGGAGGCATTGGCCGTTAGTTTGGACATTGCGAAGGCCTTCGATCGGGTTTAGCACAAAGCGCTTCTTTCGAAGCTCTCTTCCTATGGGCTTCCCGAGAAATTATGCAATTGGATCACCAGCTTTCTTGCAGATCGGGGCAACGAGGTCGTTGTAGACGGTGCATGCTCCAACTACAAGCCTATTTACGCTGGTATTTGGCTTGGCTTGGTATTATGCGGATGACAGCACTAGTGATGCTCTATACACCGGCCGTGCCATTATTTCTCGGGAAAACGTAGTTGAGTACCGGAACAAACTTGTGTCTGAAGTCGAGTCTTTGCTGGACAAAGTCTCGGATTGGGGTCGACTAAATCTAGTCCAGTTTAATCCTCAGAAGACACAAGTTTGCGCGTTTACCGCTAAAAAGAACCCCTTTGTCGTATCTCTTCAGTTTCAAGGTACTCCCCTTGTTGCCTCAGCCAGTATCGGAATCCTCGGCGTCGACATATCGAGTGACGTGCAGTTTCGTGGTCACTTGGAAGAGAAGGCCAAATTGGCCTCTAAAAAGCTTGGCATGCTCAGCAGAGCGGGACAGTATTTCATGCCGGCACAACGCCTGCAACTTTACAAGGCGCAGGTTTGGCCTCACATGGAATACTATTCCCATCCCTGGGCTGGGGCTCCGCAGTGCCAGCTCCTTCCACTTGACCGCATCCAGCGCAGAGCGGCTGACTCGGCGGCTCGATGACCGAGTCCTTTCCGATCGGCTCGACTCTTTGGCGTGCTCTGAGGAGTTGTTCGGATTAATCCCAGCCGCCAAATTTCACGAACGCACATGGCGGCAGAACTCCCGATACCATCCACACCATCTGGATGATTGGCGGTCCACCACTGTGCGATTTAGAAGATGTTTTCTTCCTCGCACAACTTCCTTGTGGAATAGTTTACCACCAGTGATTTTTCCGGACCGATACGACTTAGGGACCTTCAAGAAAAGAACCTACTCCTTTTTAAAAGGCCGGCAACGCATCTGCAATTCCCCTGGTTGCCCTGGTGTTGCGGTTGTTCATGGGCGGCGTTAGTCACTTACCATCAGGTGAGCCGCATGCTCGTTTGCCCCCTCTCCTATTAAAATAAAAACTAAGATAAAATGCATCTTGTCCAGTAAAAAGGGTCTCCGGTTCTCTACACTCACCATACGAAACACAGCAGTGTTAAGCTGATATTTTACGATGGTATTCTGTGAGAGCGTGGTCCTTACCCGGTCGAGCCGACTCATTCGTGCTACAACTATACTAGTAATATAGCTGCAGCATGGCTCTACCACGTATAAAAGGTAAGATACATCATTTTATTTTATTTCGCGGATCTTAGCTAATACATTTTTAACATCTTTAACGTTATGACTTCAAAATGCTTCTTTATTAGATACCTGTTGAAATTTTCACTGGTAAGTTGAGGAAGATGATGTGTGTGAAGTTTATCTTACCGTAGGCGGTGAAAGTGATGAGGTCCCTGGCACCGGGTTGAGCGGTCCCCGTTATCAGAACATTGACAATCACGTTCGCCGTCTGCCCGGGTGCTATCGTTTGTCTGGAAAGTAGATTAAGGGTTAAATTGCCATTTATCTGGTCTTTTCTAATAATATACCATTATGAAAATAGCTTCTTCATCCACCCGTAAAATATCTCTATATTATGGTTGTAGCACGAATGGGTATGGTATGATCTGTGGCTGTTTGTCCACAAAAATAATAATATTTTTAAGAAGATTAAAGATACACAACATAAATACACGTAACAAAAATATATTATACCTACCACAGTCGTGAACAAAAATGTTAAACACAAGTCCCTACTATATGGCAATAAAAGTATATAATAAATTACCACAGGAAATAAAAAATATATCAGAATTAACCAAATTTAAATCAAGACTCAGTAAATATTTAAAACAAAACCCCTTCTACTCAGTGGAAGAGTATTTACTTATATATTTATTAACAGTGGTAGAGCCACGCGGCAGCTTTTGCTGTCGCACGGATGGGCCGGCTCGAACCGGGGTGGTACCACGACCTCATAGAAAACCAGCGTGAAGTAGAGGTTTACCTCTGCGTTTCGCTTGGTGAGTGCAGGTGGCCGGAGGCCCTTTTTACTGGAAATGAGGCATTCCATCTTAGTCCTCACGGGTGGCAACGCATCTACATTTTGATTCGCAAACGAGGATAGATGTAGATGTCTATGGGCCGTAGCAACCACTTACCATCAGGTGGACTGTGTGCTCGTTTGTCACCCTTATCCTATAAAAAAAAATTACATAAAAAATAACACGATTATGTATTTTATATATTTTTCTAGCTTTTAATTATGTCACAATAACTACTTTTCTATGTTAAAGTATGCGATAGTAACGCTGCTACAAGCTAATCCACATTATTCGTACCTAGGTATTAGTCCTTATATCCAAATAAATCACTTCGTATTCAAGGCTATATCAGTACCTGTACTATGCAAAACCACCAATTACGTTAACCATGTAATTTAAGTAACATTTTTCACTTTTTAAATCTTTTTTAATTCAGCTACCGTCCGTCGTGAATCGTGATCTCGTGATATACGCGGGTGAGACCGCGGGGCACAGCTAGTACTATATAAACAGTGTCCTCGTCAAATTTGCAGTGCCTGAAAAGGGCGTCTAAGTTGTAAGCACATTTTTAATTTAAGACCAATTATGTGCACTTGGATTGTAAATAAATGATTTGATTTGATTTGGGTTGGTCTAACCGGGGGGGGGGGGTCCACGCTCAGAATATATTAGCGTGAAATAGGCTTAATGATGTGTTTCATATTATAGTTAGTCTAGCCCGGAGACAATTTTTACTGGCTTCTATCTTAGTCCACAGGGGTGACAACGCATCTGCGTTTGGATTCTTAATTGAAGATAGATGTTGGTGTCGAGTTCCTTACACTTACAAAACGAAACACCACACGCATTCAGCTGCTTTATCTCTGGTATTCTGTGAGAGCGTGGTGCTTCCCTAATCTAGCCGACGCATTCGTGCTACTACCATAATATAGCTGCAGCATGATTGTACCACGTGTAAAACTTTCTACTTACGACGTTGGCTCGATGCTTCTGAGGAACCTCAGCTCCCCGACAGCTCCGAAGTTGAATCTAACAGCTTGCTCGCGATAGTTGGTCACTTCAAAGTACAGCTGGAAGGAATAACAAAACATAAAGTCCCGCTGGGTTTCTTGCTGGTCTTCCCAGGACAGAGGTTTTTATCCTTGCCAGTGGTTAAAGTAAAAAATGACAATTTTTTAAATAAATATGTAATGTTAAAAATTTCTGATTTTTACACATAGTACACATTTGAATTAAACTTGTTTTTACGGATTTTATCGCGTTCATAAATATATGAAAAAGTCTAAAAACAACACTTTTCTATATTCCCATACAAAAGATTCGTAATAATACTTAAAAGTCAATTTGAACTTTAATACCATATCATAAAGCTTAAGTGTTAGTGTGGGGGGGGGGGGGGGTTCCGGGAAGGCAAAAGAATTGAGCGACGTTAGTATCGTATAAATATTAATGTCAATATTTGTCAATAGTGTTTTATAATTTTTTGTTGACTTATCAACAATCTTTTTTCTTTTTTTATCTTACTAGCTGACCTATAGCAGAATAAGTATTTAAAAAAAATTAAAGAATCGACTATTAGGCGGTACAATGTACGCCGGGTCAGCTAGTTGAAAATATTAATTAAGATTAGTCTATTCTAGATGCGATGTCGGTAGTAAAAGCTCATCTCTTGGGTAGTTTTGTGTCACTTCCTAATTCAGTAATGAATGCTAAAAATTCTTTAAAAATACAAAGTAGTATCACCTTCCTGATTTATAGAACTAGGTCAATAAAATCGGATCTGATAATCATTATGTGTAACTAGTAATCATCTATACTTATTCCATACCTGAAGACTGTCGCCCGGCGTACCATACAGTTTTGTACTCAGTCCAATTTGCACCGTCGTAAGGATCACACCGCGTTGGTTCACGACCTGGTGATGTGAAAAAAAACCATATAAAATAACTCTTAACTGTTATTGCAGATCAAAACTGATTTGTGAGGTGTTTTTTTTCCTTTTTAGGGTTCCGTAGCCAAATAACAAAAAACGGAACCCTTATAGATTCGTCATGTCTGTCTGTCTGTCCGTCCGTATGTCACAGCCACTTTTTTCCGAAACTAAGAACTATGCTATTGAAACTTGGTAAGTAGATGTATTCTGTGAACCACATTAAGATTTTCACACAAAAATAGAAAAAAAAAAACAATAAATTTTGGGGGTCCCCCTTACTTAGAACTGAAACTCAAAATTTTTTTTTTCATCTAACCCATACGTGTGGCGTATCTATAGATAGGTCTTCAAATGATATTGAGGTTTATTATATCATTTTTTTCTAAACTGAATAGTTTGCACGAGAGACACTTCCAAAGTGGTAAAATGTGTCGTCCCCCCGCTGTAACTTCTAAAATAAGAGAATGATAAAACTAAAAAAATATATGATGTACATTACCATGTAAACTTCCACCGAAAATTGGTTTGGACGAGATCTAGTAAGTAGTTTTTTTTTAAACGTCATAAATCGTAAATTATGTTACTTGCTGTTACGGAACCCTTCATGGGCGAGTCCGACTCGCACTTGGCCGCTTTTTTACTGTAGGAATTTCTCCTGTGTAGACCATAGTTCGGCGAGAGTTGACAACTGTTATGAAAACAATATTAACCCTAGACCTTACCTTACACTATACGGCGTATTTGTTATTCCTACACAGGGATGCTGAGGTGCCTCATATTAAAATATCTGTATTTTTAAAACGCTTTTACTGGCTTGGTATGTATCTACGTAACAGAATTTTTGAATGTAATTTTCATCCCCTTCAAAACGTCGGATTGATTTCAAACTTAGCACACTTATCAAGGACCGATGACAATGCAATAATTTAAATAGTTTGTCCCATTATCCTTGGCACGATCCTCAGGATTTGCGAATAATTCATAAAACAAATACGATTTCTGCCAGTTCAATCTACTGTAAGCCGCGTAAAAGAACTTCGTTCCAAAAAAAAGAAACGCTTTTGTATAATGATTTGTTATATTTACGCGAACACTACAAATTGAATAAAACTACTTTCACGGATTCTATCGCGTTTAATTAACTTATTTTCATTAAATTCCCGACGATTTTGTAGTTAGCCGCACTAAAAATAGAAAATAAAATAATAATAAAAAATAAAAAAAGAAACTAAAATGTAAAAAATAATTTTCAATAAGCTTAAAATAAGAAAAAAACATGATTAACATAAAAAAATCATTCGTGTGATCCCATATGAATTTGATCAAGGTCAGACGAATAATTTTTGAGTTATTTGAGTTATTCTTAATAACTTATATTGAAGTCGGCTGTACAAAATTTTTTAATTTTCAATTATTATAAACTCGAACAATATTTTTTTATTTTATTAAAAAATAATTGTATGCAAATTGTATGTGGTTTTATCACCTTCGCATTGTCTGGGGAGTAAGAGGATTGTCAAAGACCCCTTTACTTAGCTTTAGCATCGGCTAGTGTCAGGAAGAGGTAATAAAACCACATAAAATTAAAAAAATTATTATATTACAAAAATATGGTCGATTTAAAAAAAAGTAATTTGTAGGTTTGAATACTGATCCTGATAAAGTACTTAACGGCAATCACAGGGTTTTTGTTACATGTTGTATAGCCATCTCGCTTACTCCATACGTTAAACATCCAGACTGGCGACGGGCAGCAACGTTAAGGTGTTCACGTCTGGTTGCGATCTGCCACGGCGTTACGGTTAAGACGAAATTCAAAGTTCTCCCTACAACGGGCTAGGCTTTATCTAGCAGTGGACATCGTAAAATTAAGGTATGAAAGGTTTAGCTCTACCGGAGAAGGACCAAGCTCACACAGAATACCAGCGTAAAATAACAAACGGAGACCCTTTCTACTGGAAACGAGGTATTCCATTTTAGTCTTAGGGTATGTCTTGGGCCACAGTATCCACTTACCAACAGGTGGGTTGTGTGTCCATTTGTCACCCTTATTCTATTAAAAAGTCTTAATATTAATAAGTAACAAGCAATAACGTAACGCATCTGTATTTTGATTTGTAATAGAGGATAGATGTAGATGTCTATGGGCCGCAGCAACCACTTTCCATCAGGTGGACTGTGTGCTCGTTTGTCACCCTTATCCTATAAAACAAAAAAAATTAAATGGTCACCTGCGAAACTGCCCGACCGTACGGCAGCACGTCACTGTCATTGTATTGGAGCCTGCTGCTGTATATCCTGGAATTCTCTTCTTCAGCTTTTTCTAAATCGTTGCCCGAATCGGGAAAGACAACCGTCGATCTCCCATTCCTGACTTCCGTTTCCTGATTGATCGGTCCGGAGAACCTGATAAAGGGATCACCTGAAAATTAGAACAGTGGTATTGAAATTATATATTTATAGCGATAAAGTATAATGGGGTACGGATAAACTCTCTGCAACGGAGCCTTTTATCTTAGTGTTCAGGAGTGAATACGCATCTATATTTTGATTCGTAATTGAGGGTAGATGTAATATCCAAATCATTCATTTACCATCAAGTGTACTAAAAAAAAAATAGATCGTTAACAACCAGCACTTCCTTCCCTTTCATTGATTATGCGACACGTGTTTAGCCACTATTTGTGGCATCATCAGAAGAAACAGACTGCGATAACTAACCGCTACACAAGCGGCAAGTTGTATAAAATATTTGGAAATAATTCGCCATGATGTATTGTGTCCAGAAGTTAACCGTCAAGGGCTAACACGACAAAGGATACAAAAAGAGATGTAAGACTACTTAATACCTGGTAAATAATACCTGAAACTAACCTTGCATATTCCTGCCTAATATCTTCACGTAAATCTTTGACCCTTGCACCTTCGGCATTGGTACGTCCTCTTCTATTTCAGTCATGAGGTTTTCTTTGGGATCGATGGGGCCATCGTTGGTCACAGGCGGGTAACTAGAAAAAATGAAACGGTTTGTTCTCATTTACATATTTTAAAGTATGTATAATTATTTTGATGATTAGGTTATCTGCCTAGGGGTCGATATGAGTATGTATAAGTAGCGGCACGAAAGTCTAGCGGTGACCGTTATTGCGCATAAGTCGCGCTGATTGGCTTATTGAGCATAATTGGCTCGTGCATTTCGTTCGCACGCGCTGATTGGCTCTCTAGTCGCATTCGTGCAATTCAATTCGTGCACGTTCCCTCCACGTTTCGTTCAGCGCTAGACTTACGTGCCGCGACTTGTACCTACTTCTGCCGTCAAATAGTAGTGCCTGCACTGCTGTGCTTCTGTCTGAAGGATATAGAGAGCCAGCATAATTAGAGGTTGTGAGGCATTCCAGCTTTATCCTCAGAGGTGACATCTGTAGCTTTCTTTGTTTGATATTGGCTGCAGGTCTTCATGGACTGCAGGTAGTCACTTATATCAGGTGGACTGTAAGTTAGTTTGGCACTTCATAAAGAGGGTGTGTTTTTATAGAATAAGGGTGACAAACGAGCATACAGTCCACCTGATGGTAAGTGGTTGCTGTGACCCATAGATATTTACATCTATCTTCGTTTGCGAATTAAAATGCAGATGCGTTGTCAGCCGTGAGGACTAAGATGGAATGCCTCTTTTCCAGTAAAAAGCGTCTCCGGTCATCTACACTCACCATACGAAATACAGCAGTGTTAAGCTGCTACTTTACGCTGGTATGCTGTGAGAGTGTGGTCCTTCCCAGCTCGAGCCGACCGATTCGTGCTACAACTAAACTATTAATATAGCTGCAGCTTGGCTCTACCACGTAAAGGTGTCTGTGGATTGCAGAAAATACTTACCATCAGGTAGACTGCAATTTCGTTTGCTACTTTAATTATTGTTTTAATTTTTAATGGTTTATTATATGTTCAACATTAGGCTCGAATTACTGATGAATGATGCATTGATGCAAGCCAATGTATTCATGCGAGTTCATATAAAATATTACAAATGTGTTTGCTTTAGAGACAGTATTCTTACGTAAATGGCAGCTTGGCAAGTTCGGAGCCATACTCGTCCACTAGTGACGACTCGCGCACACTCGCGACTGGGCCGATGACGCGAAGACTCAGCCTATCTGTGAACAGAGATTTATTGAAGAAAATTGTTTCGGTGGTCTATGGTTATGAAACTTCCAATCATTTTAAAAAATTCTCCTGGGGATATAAACGTCAACATGTTTTGCTAGGTTTGTCTTCGACAATATTGTCATTAACATTTGTTATCTTCTAGTAGTAATCTGAATTTGGCGCTGTAATCCACGTCGGGAAATGGGATACCGTCATCGCTTGACAGTCACTTATTACTTTGGCTTCAATATCAACAAAACAAGGAAGTGTGACGTCACAAAGAGCGTGTTTTAGACAAAAGGTTATCTCCCTACTACAAGAAAGATAACACTGCATTGTGTACATTGCTACATATTATATTAATGAATTGATGTAAGATATTATTTTTATTTCTTTGTGAGCCGTGTAGTGGCGGTGTAAGAATATTCAACTTCTAACTACCCCATATCATCCTGTGAGTGTTTTAAGAGGCGACAGAGGGAAACAATTCAGGGAGATGGGCAACAGCGTCATCCAAATTATGGTTAAAATGAAAAACTGCGGTTGCCAACCCCCTTGCCAAGCGTGGCGACTATGGCAAATATTCCCGCTATGGGGGAGGCCTATGTTCAGTAGTGGACTTTAATAGGCTGTAATGAATGGATGTATCGAAGATAATCTACCAGGAGCACATGGCCCACTGAGTGGTGAAATTATTAAATGAACAGTAACATTACAACTATGGCAAATACCCTCTACGAGGAAATCTATGGGGGAGACCCTTGTGCAGCAGTAGAATTTAAAAGGTTGTAATGAATGGATGTATAGAAGATAATCTACCAGTAGCACATGACCCGCTGAGAGGTGAAAGTTCCTGCAGTGGGGAGGGTTTATGATATTCGCCACGCTCGGCAGAATATTGACAGTCGCATTACCAGATGTCTTGCAGCTTAGAGTATATGTACATAAGCAAGCTATTACTTCTCGGGAAAACGTCACCGTGTACCGGAACAAACTTGTATCTGAAGTCGAGTCTTTGCTGGACAAAGTCTCGGATTGGGGGCGACTAAATCTAGTCCAGTTTAATCCTCAGAAGACACAAGTTTGCGCGTTTACTGCTACAAAGAACCCCTTTGTCGTATCTCCTCAGTTTCAAGGTACTCCCCTTGTTGCCTCAGCCAGTATCGGAATCCTCGGCGTCGACATATCGAGTGACGTGCAGTTTCGTGGTCACTTAAGAAGAGAAGGCCAAATTGGCCTCTAAAAATCTTGGCGTGCTCAGCAGAGCGGGACAGTATTTCATGCCAGCTCAACGCCTGCAACTTTACAAGGCGCAGGTTCGGCCTCACATGGAATACTGTTCCCATCTCTGGGATGGGGCTCCCCAGTGCCAGCTCCTTCCACTTGACCGCATCCAGCGCAGAGCGGCTCGAATCGTCGACGACCGAGTCCTTTCCGATCGGCTCGACTCATTGGCACTGCGAAGAGATGTTGCATCCCTTTGCATTTTCTTTCGCATTTACCACGCGGACTGCTCTGAGGAATAGTTCGGATTAATCCCAGCCGCCAAATTTCACGAACGCACATCGCGGCAGAACTCCCGATACCATCCACACCATCTGGATGATTGGCGGTCCACCACTGTGCGATTTAGAAGATGTTTTCTTCCTCGCACAACTTCCTTGTGGAATATTTTACCACCAGCGATTTTTCCGGACCGATACGACTTAGGGACCTTCAAGAAAAGAGCCTACTCCTTTTTAAAAGGCCGGCAACGCATCTGCAATTCCCCTGGTGTTGCGGTTGTTCATGGGCGGCGGTAGTCACTTACCATCAGGTGAGCCGCATGCTCGTTTGCCCCCACTCCTATAAAAAAAAAATATTATGTGTACTCTAAGTCTTGCACGTTTGACACTGCTCCGTGACGTCAATTTTATTATTTTAACTCTGTTAGATGACAGGAGATGGTCTTAATGTCTTCTATTGGAAAGCATGAGATTATTCTGGCATTTGCCATGGCTGTCTCTTATTCTAAGGTTGAGGCGATACGGGTGATGCTTTTCTCACGCCGTCAAACACTTTAACACGGTAAAAATAAAAACTGTAATCAGCTCTATTTTTACTAAACCAACACAATTACAATGGTTTAAAGATGGCGGCCGTTCAACGTAGTTTTTCGACACTAATATAATGCTAAAGGATGTCGACAATTTTCTTCAATAAAGTAAATTGCTCAATAATAAAGCAAAATTTTTGTTATTATCATTGTTTAACTGTTTATAATATAAATCACAATTAAATTAATGTGGAATTACATCAAGTTTAGAAATAATCTAATCTAATGCTCCCGATTCTCGTCTATCGTTCATTTATTAATATATAATAACTAACATTTTGAGATAAGGTTTAATTATTAAAATTAGTCCGACAACTGAAATCCAACGCGTCAGTTGTCCCGCGTGATTTTTTGGATAATAATCGTTTTAGCGGGAAAACGAATTGTGATTTAGTTTTTTTTTTTCACACGTGTGTGATATTATTTCGATTTTTTGCTGGTGTACTGTGTTGTGTTTTTATTTTAACGTTTTTAAAATTTCGTGTATTAATAGAAAAAAATCGCTCTTGAGATGTTCACGTTGTCTTTGCCGAGGTCTTAATTTTATAAAAAAAGTTTATATGTTTTTTTTTTTATAAAAGTATAATATGACTATGTAATACTTTAATCATTTTATCTTTAATGTATATTTAACGTGTTCAGTGAGCGGTAAAATTAAACTGTACAAAATGATTCTATTTTTTGTCTCCACAACGGGATTCGGTTATCTTATAGTCATTATTTTTTTATTTTATGTTACAGCAATGTTTTATTCGTTTTTACTAGTTCGTTTGAGTCATATGTTATAATCATCGTTAAAATATTTACGTGCGTTAACTTTTTGCAACAGGCGATTTAACAATTTAGAAATAACGATACCTACCCTTAATTTAAAAAAAAATATTTTTTAGCAAATTAATTTTAAAATGTCCTCTTCGCGGGAAATTTAGGCGTAATTTTTTTCTTTTATAAATTCGGGAATTTGTGTTAGCTTAGAATAATTTTAACTGTGTCGAATTATCGAATTATCATTTAAATAAAATAACTAACTTTTCACAAAAAGTAAAAACCGACTTCAAATTGCTACAAAAAAGAAGTTATTTATTTGCTACCTTTACCTATTTAATCAAAAAATAATCATCAATATTGGTTCACAATCTGCGAAGATATCGCGTAACATACATACAAAAAACATACACCCTAATTGAGAACATCCTCCTTTTTGAAGTCGGTTAATAAAACTTTGACGTGCCTTAGAATTTTTTGTTTTTTATAATTAATGGAGGCAAATCATTAACCAAAAAGGAAATTTACAATAATCTGGTTGTAGCGTGATCGTTTTATTTTCACGTAAATTCATATCTTGGAATAGATTGTTTATATTTCGAATGAAAATTAAATCTTACGCGTTACTAACGTCTACGTCCCGTGTAGTGGCTGTGTTAAGAATATACACTACCCCATATCATCCCGTAGGTGTCGTAAGAGACGACAAAGGGATAACAACTCTAAATAATAAAATTAAACTGCGGTTGCCAATACGTCTGCCAATCGTGGCAACTATGGCAAAATCTTCTCTATGAGGCAATCTATGGGAGGAGCCCATGTTCAGCAATGGACTTTTATAGGCTGTAATGGATGGATGTATAGAAGATAATCTACCAGGAGCACATGACCCACTGAGAGGTGAAATTATTAAATTAACAGTAACATTACAACTATAGCAAATACTCCCTACTAGGCAATCTATGGGGGAGGTCTATGTTCAGCGGTGGACTTTATAGGCAGTAATGGATGGGTGGATAGAACGATTACTTCACTACAGCTGTAAAACTTTAGAGCTTTAGACAGACAATTATTTGGCCCCTTTGAAGTCATATTACTATAAATACATGCTTTCACATGTTTAAGTTTATTGTATTGTACAAAACACAAACTGCCATGGCCCGATAAATGTTGCCTGCTAGTTAATTCTATATATTATTATTCAATTGTAAAGATAAACTCGTATCTTTTTAAAGTCCAGAGGACAGCTTATTTTTTAAAACTATGCAAATTGGCCATACCCTTTTATAACTTATCTCCTCATGTACCTACTTATGATGCAACATGTGATTTCAAAATGTTCACGTAATACGTTGTAACTTGTCAAAATATTATGGTGTCACGAGTTTTGGACAACTTGGAAAGTGCGGCATTTGGCGTTGTTTGTTTGAGTTGGATCGCAGTGCATTGCGCCCTTGACCTACAAAGAGTACGCCGCCATCTTTGGAAGATGGCCGAACTGTCATTGTGACGTTTCAAGGTTAATATATACTTTTTTTATTTTATCGATACCAAAAGTTGTTTTGGTGCCGTTTTGCGTTTGGCTTTCTCAGAAAAAAACGGCAGTAACCTAATGTTTGAAAGTTGTGGGTTCGAATCCGTCATTCGACTAGTGTCGTGAACGGCCCCTAACATAAACATTTGAGCATATAGTAACGAGAATAATAATAGTGCTGTTAACTTAAAAAAAAATAAAGAATAAAACATACTTGTCCACTCTCTACCTTTAACTGTTCACGTCACCGGTCAATGACATAGTTTGTGCAATTTTGTGATGATGTACTTGGCACTTATATTGCATGTTTATTATAGCATGAGATCTGTGACACAATTTTACGTTTGTTGTATTTATTATTGGCGTAATTGATTTTGTTATGTAATGAAATTAAGTAAATACCTACCTATGTTATTAATAATTTTTAAACAATGTCCAAAATCAAGAACGTTCTATATTCGACGTCTATGTTCTTAGCCGTCCCCCTCAAGGAGGTTAATGTTTTCGTGTGTATGTATTACATGTATGTATGTCTATTTCTTTGGCATGCTCTGTAGCCTAAACGACTTAATAGGTTCTGTATGAAATAGCAGAACGGCAATGTAATAACATTT